TTGTATTTTTCACTAGATGGCGCCACTATGACTATGTTAATACAGAAATGGTTAAAATACTGTACTTAATGTTACTCGTAATTTATCAGTTAACAGTTTATAAAATTTAAATTTTAGTATTCTTTAGCCTTAAAAACTCATATTAAGTATTATTTTTATTGTACGTATAGACTTTTCTTAATTTTCTAATGTATAAACTCAATATAAATGTTTAATTAATTTGTATTTTGTGAATTTTTTCATTCATTTTGTAAAATGTAAAAAAAACGCATTTAATAGTTAATTTCTAGATTATTAAAATCGTTTTATCCTTAATATATGCATAAAGAAATTGTAACCAGTGCACTAAAACACTCTGAGTGTGTGGGAGTGACAGTATAAGATCTATAAAAGATGACTTAGGAGGACGATTCGATCGTAAATTTCACACGTATCGTGACGAGTTAGTATTAAAGAAGACACGAAGCAACGATTTCGACTTGTATAAATCCCAACAAATTTCGTTGAACTTTCACCTCGTGACTCGGCCCGTTGCCTTCTTCCGATATATGAAGAGAAATTCCAGTCACACTTCGAACTTGAAGTGACCTTGTCGTGATTCATGGCGATCTCTACCGTCTATAAATGCGATTATTTTACGAATCGATAGGACGATGTAAACGCTATCATAAAAAAATTTGATAACTATTAACTAGTTGTAAATCCCTAACGGCGTAGTTTTTACATCGAAGAATCCGGAATTATGCATTTTACACTTCTTTAATTCTTAAACGAGAGATTTTGACCGGTAATGCGGCTGTAACCTATGACCCCCGCTATATATTTTCGTATCAAAACTGAGACGAACGTGACGCAGACCTCTATATAATAGACGAATGGGAGGTTCCTACCAAAAATCACGGCCGAAAATAAATGTTAAACGATGTCATAAATATCCCCTAAACTTGGCTCTCGTGTTCGATCGTCACGCGTGAATCGACTTTAAATCGTGATTTTCGTATCGTGCCTACGTGAACGACGCGTGAAGATGCTTTCTTACATTCGAAACGAATATAAAAAGCTTAAATTGGTCCAATTATAAGTCTGCTTCAATAAGAAATTCTGCAAAACGTGCAGGAAAAAAAAACAATAAAAATTTTGCTATTTTCTAACACATGGTATTAGTTGTCGTAGTGATTAATGTCATAATTTTCTAGTTAAATCTAATATTAAAGATTATTCTCGCTTCAAATTTTCGGTATAAAGTTCTTTACTTAATTTAGAATTAATTAAAAACACAAAAATAATGTCTTCAAATTAAGCTATATTTTTATTTTATTGTCTTACTAAAATAATTCTTTTAATCAGTGAAACGTGGTAAAATATTTCTATATTGATAACATTTTTTTTCTATTTTATTAACTATAATCTATTCTATACAATGTATTATCTAAAAGTTAAACTTAAATGAGAGTAAAACTATAATAATAATAACAATAATAACCTAAGGCCTATCTAGGCTAGGGACATATTAAAAATAAAACGAGTTTTTAGGTGACTTGAATAATTGATAGTTCTAGGGAAAAAAAGAAAAAAAGAAAAAAACACGAGCAAAAGGAAAACTCTATAACGATATTCAGCCAACTAGAATCACGACATCACAAAAGAGATGCAAATATGGCGAATAGACACAATCCAGATGTCGTCCCTAGGATTGAGGACAATTAGACTTTTTTTGTTTTCTTTTCCCGGAGCGATCATGCGATTTTTTATCTTTTAATTCGGCACATAAACTGGATCTTTAAATTTTAATACCAATCACACAACACGTTGGTACAAGATGCTTTCCTGGTAAAGATCTACTGTAAAAACTACGACCTCTTCTCGGGGTCAAAGGTTTTTCCTTGTGCCAAAGACAGTGATATACTATTATGCAAGATAAGGTTCACGCTAAAAACACTTAAATAGATTTATTACTAATGTTTCAAATGGACTATTATCAAAACGAATTTTAACAATTGCCAGAACTAATTTTCTGAAGATCGGTTGACCTTTAAGTAAAATAGAACTCATAAAAATAATTTTTCTCGTAGATTATTGTCAAACTTTGATTGTGTCTCTTTATATTCATTTCAATTGATACCAAACTTCCAAATCCTATTAATAGATGGCCATTAGTTATATTTGACAACTGACTAGTGAAAATTTACTGACGAAAAAAAATTTTTTTTTTCTTTTTCGTAAGAAATGAATCTACGTGACCTTGAAGGTGTCGTAATTTAATCTCTTCCTTGCAGATCATTCTCTTAATTAAATTTGTTAATTAGAAAGCCAGGAATTTACGTGTAGAGAATGCAGGATGTCCCGCATCAGTAAGCTGTAGGATGCTATAGTAAAGATAACAGCTTCGATCGAATCGAGATCGAAGCCTTTAAATAAATTTTATTGGATTACTATCCGTACAGAAGATTATCAATTAAAATCTGTTCGTTAATCCGTAGAGATTAGATTTAAACTTGATTTATTTATTATACTATTTGCTGTTATCCATTATATACGCCTGTAAATAAATATTAATTAATTAATGACTTCGAAAACTGCCACTTTAAAAGGAAAAAATAAAATAAATGGCTAAATATTTTAGACTTATTTCCATCCCTTTTTTCCCCCTTCGATCTGTGTCTTTGTATCTTGAAATTCTTTGCGATTTATGGTATTTTAACAGAAACAAACGAAAGTCTAATGTCGTGAATCATGTTTATATTTAAAAAGGCTCCATAAGAATATATTGTTAAGTAATTTGCAATAGGAGTTGCACTTGTCATACTCCCACTCCTGTCAAATTCTATTGCGCTTCCTTCAAGAGTTACGTTATTCCAGTTAATTCTTTAAATCGGAAAACATGAATAATTCAGTGTTAAAAAATTCAAAATAAAATTTCTTTAATATATTAAATTTAAAATCGAAGCTGATATTAATCAAATAAGAATTGAAATTAATAAAAAATAAAGTAGAGAAATTAACATTTTGCCATTTTTATCTGCAAGCAAATCTATAAGCAATAAATGTTATTAATATGTATATTGTGTAAATAGAGTATGAGATTTTAATGTCTGGCAGCAAACAACAAAAAAAAATAATTTTTATTCAAAAGTTTTCTTTTTCTGTTACTAGAGGGAGTTGGCAGTCGGTTTTTGAATCGAGCCATGACGTAATGAGGAAGTCAAAATAGGAGTCAGGAAGAGGTCCTTTTTAGGACAGTCGCGGCTTCTGACGTTGTCATTGACAAAAATTTTTCACGGAAATGCAAGTTCTCCCGATTTATCCCTTCCAACTAATTAATCAACCACATAAACCAATTAAAGAGAATGTAAAATACCTTAAAAGTAGGAGTCGAAAAGAGGTTTTTGTTTATTCTTCAATATTTCAACAGCTTAAAGTTTTGCTAAGAAGCGAAAAAATAAACAGAATATTTTTGGAACTGTTTGTATCGTATAAGCCACATTATTTTCTAACGACAGAAAAAAATAAAATAAAAAATAAATAGCCGAGTTGTCAAAATAATTTTCGCAGTTGGTTTTGTGGCTCATTAAACGATTCCAGCGCCATTATCTATCATTGGAGTTCCACTTTCTCTAACATTAAATCAGTTTATTACCCGCGGACGATGTTTGTAATTGTAGACGTGGAATTCGTCAGAACGCGTCTTTCTTCGTATTTGAATTTTCGAATGTAAATAAACTGTTAGAGGTGCATTTTCAGCAGAATGCCCGCGCGTGTAAGTACCTTAATTACGTAATAACGTTGGTAAGTGTCGGAACCGGGCACCCGAAACATGTACGTAGATGGTCGGAGGCCTTCCTGGAAAGGAGAAGCCAGCACCAACAAGTGTGTGCCGGTGCAACAGGTAGCAGGCAGGTAATGCCGAGTCCCCACCCTCTAGTGACGTAGGCACCAACGGTTGGATGGTGCCCGCGTAGTTCGTCGTTAAAAACAGCCGGTCGTCGGTACAAGGATTAAGTAGTCAGGCTGTGCATTCAGTCGGTCGGGACTATGCCGTGAGGTATATATATCTTCGGATACGAAACTGTCCGTGGACATTCGTCAATGGATGACCTGGTCGCGACTTGTGTCTCTATGGATATAACATTTAGGATCTTGGACGGCGACAATAAGGAATAACGTTTGTTGGTGAGTGACGTTTCCGTGCCTTGGGCCCTAGCAGTATCGGACCCGAGCGAAAATTATTTTCTTCTTTCTTTACGACTTTAAAGCAATTATTTAAGTGGATATTCAAATTTATATCCCTTATTATGTCTTGTTTATATTCTTAAATTTTCGGAAATTTCCGATTTTATAACATCTTCTGATCGAGTAAATGATTTAAAACTGTTTCTGTCTTCACCACTACATTAAATTTCGGTTATAGATTATTGTCTTGTGTAATTAAATCTCAATTATTAGACTGTTATTGATAAATGTTATTCAAATTATTTTATATTTACTTGATGAAAATGAGGTACTGTACAAATGTATTTTTGCGCGGTTATCGGCGATAAGGCCTATTTTAAGAAACGATTGCTTGAGTATAGATGTTTATCTGGTCATAAAATAGCCACAAAAAAAAAAAAAACATTTTAAACGTTTTTAGTTTTGTAAGTCGATGTTGAAATTTAAATCGTTAGAAAAACAAGATAGATAATTTATGAATTTTATCAAGTTTTATGGAAGAATTTGAGAAGAAAATGTTTATATTTTGACTGATATTTCCGTAATATTTCTTCTTGCTTATTCTCTACATCTCATTGCTATTTATATAAGTATATATACATATTATTTCGAACTAATTTTTAACATAATAGATTAAATTCATTTGCAATAATTTAATTATTGTAGTGTACTTGACATAATCGAGATGCTTGAACGTAAATACATTCAAACATCATTTTTCTATATATGTAAACAGCTTAATTGAAAATTTTAATTTATCCATAGATTGAAACTCTTGCTTTTCCTGCAAATCGTTATATTTTTCTGTTTTTTAAGTTATAATTTAAGAGCTATTCTAACCGTTCTATATCTAGACTAGTTCTTAAGTCTATATTAGATTACTTTGTCAAGTAAATTATGTCAAATGTCATGATGGCAATGTATTCCTTGCCTGGATTATCTAACCATTTTTCCTAGAAGAATCCCGGGATGGTTTACCATCCGGAAGTGAGAGGAGCAGGAAGCAACATATAGAACGGAAGTGATGTCACGACGTCCTGTTTACACAGGGTGAAACTATTTAAAGTTACGGTAATGAAGAAAGAGAAGTCCTTTTTTCAGAAATCCAATCCTTTCCTGTAAACTAACAATCGATCATTTCTCTTTTACCGCCTCGCTCCAAGGAAAACTAGGCTTATATGTTAATATTATTCAGATGTAGTAATAGTAAATCTATTGTTAATTATCACTACGAACAGTTATATCATCCAGTTAAGTCAGAATGTCATTTATATCCTAAATAATATCCAGGTGAGGTTTGATTTAACATGTATTCTTCCTAGTTGATAAGAGTGTATAATTTAGTCGGTATCGAAGTTCCATCGATGAACTCCAGATGGCACTGTCTACGAGATAACCCTGTATCGATGGATAGGGTTTGGCTGGTTTGAATCCATGTGGATTCTCACTCATTGTAAATCTCCTTGTCCAGGCTTTTATGATGGGTGGAGTATTCTCAACGCTATTCGTAGGTGTGAAAATAAATGTTGCTCGACCGTTTACTTTGATGATAAACTTCGAGATTGGTTTTAATTGTCTTCTCTTTGGAGCGCCGAATAATTAGAACGTGATTCGTTGCAGTTTCAGTTCGTGACTATCTATAAAAATCCTAGATTAAGTTAAACCCTTAGGAAAATTCTCTGTATCGTGAGGTATTGTTCTAAAACGTAGTATGTTTTACATAATAAAATTAAGGTGAATAACTTATATTAATCATTACTTGCAGACTAAGCCCTATTAAAATTTCCCTTTCTTAAATTAAGAGTTATTTATTATAGAACGTGTTAATAATTTAAATATACTTTTTTACAAAGCAGAAAGTATGGTCTTTTTTCGTGAATACAATTAAGTAACAGACTTGTTTTAAGTATTTAAAGACAAATCTTCTTTGCTAAAACACGTAAGAACTAAGTTTTTCGTGAGCCATTTTTTAATAGAATTACTAGTGACGTGCTATTTATTTATTTTAGTTTCGGGTTTAATGAATAACGTATTTGCTTACTGTATTTAGTATACTGTGGTCCTAAACAGAGTTCTTTTAAGATTCATGAGTGCCAAGATGAAGCAATAGATCTACTGTATATGTTAAAGTGCAAAAATAATTTTGGATGCAGGCCTAAAGAATTTATTTTAGTGAAACTTATGTCATTCATAAAGCTCTATTTATTAATAAATGTAGATATTTAGATACGAGTTGAACTTGTTTTTATTTTTATTTTTGACGAGTTCTGACAAATTTTCGCATATTTTAAGAGAAGTTAAAAGTGTGGAAGACCCCGGTTCCACGTAGAAAATATAGAACCATCACTGAAATAGTCTTCATTCTTTTTTTACTTAAAATCTACAACAATCGTATTTACAGAAGACGTAAATAGCCTTAAGTATAAACAAGTAACATTATCTAGAGCTTTCAAAACTCTCTGTTTGAATGATAACGTTAAACCTTTTGTAAGTCAACAGTCGAGTTTATTGCATGAGTCTTCGCTTTGGTTTCCTTTGGGCTTTCTGCTTGTTGCATTATTCATTAATGGATTAAAACTACAAATTTTCCTGTCGGGAGAATCTTAAGTTGTTTACCTTAGGATCTTCTACTGACTGAGATTTTCAAACAGAAGTGGATTCTCTATCCATTTCTGTCTGTTATCATATCAATTGATATCTAGCAGCTATTACGAGACTAGCAAGTCTAGCTAACTGGCTTGATTAATTTGACAACTTACAACATAGTGGCATGCGTGATTTTAACAATTTATAGATTTCAAATTTATTCCTCCGTATATCTAGATGAAGAATTTGAGTCTATATATAGAAAGATATTAAATAAAATAAATTTTAAATACTGTCAAACGAGTTAAATTTAAGCCGTCTTGGTAGGACAACTTCTTTTGTTTAAAAGTTAACGAGACAATTTGTAAGGGATCTAGAAACAAAATTGTTTTGTCAAAATTTTTTTTGTTTTTTTCGACGAAACGGCAAATGGGATATTTTAGGACCGTGTCTTACCTTCACCGACAGCTGAATTCAAGAAGAACCCACTTTCTATACATAGACTCAGACGATTTAGCTTCCTTCTTCCGCAACTTTACGTCATTAATATAGACACGTCACGTGGTCGACGACTGTTGGTTAGCTCCCGTGACGCACCGGAAAGAAATGACAGACAGATCCCATTTGTCAATTCTTCTTCAAAGAATCTCTTTGATGACAGATTTTATGCACGTGTCAAAATTCGATAAGATACGCTTTTCTTTAGTAAGAGAAAATAGAAGTTTCCGGCCAAGTTTGAATCGGAAAGGAAAGTACAATCGACTCACACAACTTTCTAATATAATTGAGCTTTTTAAGAATTTTCGAGACTGAAACAAGACTTAATTACAGTGCTTGCACGATTTTTTTTTTTTTTTTTTTTTGTCATCCATCAAAACTCATCAGTCCTCCAACCCGCCCAAGTATTCTATATTTTTGGTGCTGATAACAGCACCCCTCTCACGACTTTCGATACCTCCCAGAGCTCGGGGGTACATCTTTTAACATTTCCCTCAATTTGGAGTTCATTTTTCTGAAGGGAATCTGTGACATCCGCTGGCGGCATCGCATATCAAAAGCTAGATTGAGATCGCAATGACTCTTCTCACTTAATTGCGGCCAGACTATTACTTAACGCAATGATAGCGGTTGTTAACAGTAGTGTCTCTGCTCTGCTTTCAGACGGAGAAGGGAACTAGCCTCGGGCCATTTTCGCTAGATAAAGACGTTAAATTCATCGATAGGATCACTAAAACGGAAACAAATTGTACAATTGTACCAGCAGAAGTCGGAGAAGAAACCCAAACAACCGTGTTTAGATTATATCTCTGTATAACGTTCATAAGTCTGAAAAGTATACAGAACTATATAGCGGGAGACGTCATTTATTTTCACTTAATGGTAGAGCTCTCTGCACTTCACAGATTTATGTCCAAAGCACTTAGGTAGGTAGAACTTAAAACACAGGTTAGCTATAAAGCGGCCGAACGTAAAGTAATTGCTGAACAACCAGAGGAAATGGTTTGTCTTACGATTAATAATCTTAAAAAAATAGATAATTGTTGCAAATAATATTTTTTAAGTCTTATAATATTCAGAAAAAAACTGAATTTTATAATTTTTATCTCTCTTTATTTATTATTTTTTCTTTAAAACCAGTATCTTTTAGAGATTCGAAGCACATTTTCTAGATAACTTTCTTGTATATTTTTCATTACTGCTTAGTTAAATATGTACAAAATTTTTATATTATTTTAATTTTTATTAAAACTTAATTTTTTAATTAATTTTAATTTGTTGTTTTGTATGAAACTTACTACTTAGCTTCAGTATTCAGCAATTGGAGATTTGATATAAATATTTAAAAACATTTTATAAATAAAATAACTCTCAGTGGCAAGAATTAAATTATGATTAATGCTTAAACTTTTTTTGGTTACATCGAAAAGTTTCTTAAATTATAGTCTTATAGCAAGAATAAATGTAATAAATTTTATAAACTTGTTTTTCGGCTTTTTTGCATGACTGAAGAATTATGCAGTGAAGCCAACCTTTTGCGCTTTTTTGCTCGTAGCTCTTTTTCTTCTTGCCGAATTTAATACAAAGTCATAATTTTCTTTAAAAACTTAATGGGCAATTTAATAGCTCTCTATAAAAACTTTAAATTTAAAAACTTTCGTAGAAACTAGTTTGATTTTGCAGTTTTTCGAACACGGAGAAAACTTGATATTTCTGATCAACATGTTAAAGTTAATATATCATCAGATAGGAACGGGGAAAAAAAACTTATGCAAACTATATATAAAACTTCTAGTTTGTTTCCAAAATAAACTTTCCATCAATGTTTCTAGTCATGCTGCTGATAGGCACAAAGCCAATTCAAAACAAACTTTATCAATAGGCAACAATAAGACGTCCGTTATTGTAAGTTTATACGAGTTCCTATTATATTTGTAAACAAAACTCGAAATATTTGTGTTACTAGTAGACTTTTATTTTAGAATTTTAAAAAACAAAACAAAGTCACGATATAAAGTCATAAATATAAAATAATAATAATTTTTGAAGTAAAAAAAGCGGTTTAATAGTGTATCAATTAAACTCATCGCAGTTTCATTCATTCCAGCAAACGAATAGTAAAAGTTAACGTGATCGGTTTATGAATGACTAATGACATATTTATTTTTTACGATAATTAAAAAATAAAAAAATAAAACTTCAGGCAATTGAGCACAACTAGCGTAGTCGATATATTGAATTCCCCATTTACGTGTCCCAGAAATGTCATGAGAATAAAGATACCAATCTATATTCCCAAAAAGGAAAGTTGAATACATAAAAACAGAAAAAAAAATCCGTTAAAGAAAACAAAGATAAATTTTATTGAAAATTTATAAGAAAGTTCGTAAGAAATTTTAGGAAAAACGAAAATATTTAAACGTAGAAAACGATGTATAATAATAATTATTAGAACATGTCGTTTAGCAACAGCCAATCGGCACCTAAGATGACTAAGTAGGTCATCGAGACCAGACTTTTCTCGATAAATCACTGCCTAGGGTGCACACATAGAGAAGGTGTTTGACAGGACAGCGAAACTTCCTGGTTGGGTGCCAGAGGGAATGAAAAATGCTCAACGAAAGTTCTTTAAAAAGTTTCTCTTTCGTTCCTTCATTTCCCTCTTTATCTGTGTATATAAATGATTGCTTAAAAAGGCTACGGCACGGACTTTCCTCAAAGAATGAAAAATGATCTAAGCTTGAATATTTTAATACTTTCCACGAATTAAAACCTTTTTATCCTCTGTGAGACTGGCATTTTTTATTTATTTTTGTTTTGTTTTCTGTTCTTTCATCTATTATTCGAGCTCAGTAAGAACCTCACTTTCTTTATCATTATAATGACGTTTGAATGAATAGAAGACTTGAAAAATATTTTAAGCACGACCGTGAATCATAAATGCAAATTTGAATCATTGTTAAACGTCAAAAGTAATTTCGAAAATCATCTTAAATATTAATTAATTGTCGAGTACTGGACCAAAAAAAAAAGTCGCGTATATGCATATGTATATCTAAAAGTTTCCTGGTTTAGCGAACGTAAATATTTAAAAACTCGACTCGATATCCGCTATAGAAAAAATTTAACAGCCTAATTTTTATTTTACGTTCGTATTATTCTCGGCACCAAGAAATTTTATGAACAAATATTGTTTTTAAGGCAGTTTTCCAAGAGTTTCCACTGTGTAAATTTGTTTTTTCTCAATAAATCTTTCCAGGGAATAACCTCAAACAAATAAATTCTGTAATTTCTCAAGCAATGAGTAATAAATGCTTAATTATTTACATAAACATCTTACAACCAACATATAAAACATTCTAGGTCAAGATATATAAACAGGATGGAAATTTAATTCACATTTACGCAATTCATAATTATTATTATATAGGAACTAAACATTTTATATTTAATTATATAATGATGAATTATGTATGGTGCTATTTTCAAACAAATCGGCAAAGGTTTGTTTTACGTTTAATTAAATTTATTATGCAAAAGACATGCAAATTTAATATATGTAAATCAAAAGTAAACAGGCAAAATCGTGTTTTCGATTTAGTAACAACTTCCTACTAGTAATATTTTTAAATTATTATTTAAAATTTTTTAAATTTATGATTAATATATCTTATTATGTACTGTACATAGATTCGGGTATTGCAAAGGACTGTTCTTTATTGAAAATTGCATTCTATATAACCATTAACTCTGTAATTTATATTAAACTAGCATATACGCGAGTATAGTCTTGGAATAAATTATTTAGACTCGTATAAAAGCTATAATTTACATTATTATTCGAGTAAATAATAAGTTACGTTTTTATAGCAAGCTATGAATATCTTTTATTCGAATTTGACTTTACGACATTCTTCGAAAAGGTAAAAACATTACGAGACTACCGCTTGGGAGTTTTTTTTATATTTCCTTTTTTATTTTTTTTTTAATTCTTTCTTGGAGGAAAAGGATGAACTGCAGCAGCCCTATGATAAAAGTAGAACTGGTTTCGGTCGGTAAAGATAAAACGAGTGTCTTCGAAGTTTGGGTAGTGTCGTGTCACGTGACCCGAGACAAGCGATGACGGTAAATCTGTCAGGAGGTATTTCTAAGCTGGGAGGTAGATAGCAATATATTATATAAGTCTGATAGATGAAGCGTGTGATAAAGTGCACACACATACATAGCTCTTTCGAAACTGGCCAGTTATTCTATCAATTGAAACTTGTATAAGAAAGCGGAAGTTTGCACAGAGCGCCTCGTTTTACAACAGGAAATGAAATTCTTTATGGCTTTTCTAAAGTTATTTTTTATTCCCTTTCCAAAGGTATTATTTGGTTAAGCGATAATTTATATATTATTTGATAAACATAACGCAGTTTACATTAAAAACATATACATTCTGTAATAATAAATCATTAAAATGTAAAAAAAAAGGACAGGCTACTATTTACATAATGTAAAAATTCCTTTTTTAAATTACTAAATTTTTTTCTTTTGCTGGCCGATGCTGTAATTTGTAATATTTAAAATACAATTCGGCAAAAATTTAAATATATTATGAAAGAATTAAAGATGAGACTGGTAGCAACACGATTCCGGTAAGTAATTCTACAATTATCACATAAATTACTGCAGGCAGAGTCATTTATTTTTCATCAAAAATTTGAATTATGAAACTCGTTTAATATTCCGTGAAGAGGTTATTTTGCTATTTAAAATTTATCATTTTTCAGCCGGTCTATGCGTAAAAATTACGCCGTAGCCGATACTAAGCAATCTATGAATCAAAGAGAAAGAATCATTAATTTTCAATGGCGTTTCTTTTTTTGTCAGCTATAACTCAAAAAATATTAATTGATGATCATTCGACCTTAACGAATTGTAAGGTCAAACTGTTAAAGTTAAATTATCTATCAATTAATATAAGTTATATCCATTATTTTTGCTCTGTGTGCTGTTAACGTAGCGTGTTTCGTAGCCAGTACGGAACATTTAGAAAACTGAACATCCTGAAGCCTTTGCCCTCCTTATTTATCTAATCATAGCTTGTAAAAGTAATTGAAGTCAAAGTCATTATCTAAGAAATTAGATTTATCTCGAACCATTTCTTAACCCGGTAAATACGTGCTGGTTGATAATAGAGTACAGATATCTCCGTCTCTCCGCCCATTCACCTCCATTCAATCGTGAAGATTGCCAACAAACCAGACGAGATTTACTTTATTTAAGCTAGATCAAAGTTCGTAACATTTTGGTCTCGACCCAATAATTTGAATGTTGTCGACAAAGGTGCAGTAAATTTAAGTTTCTAAAAAGAAAGGCAACTTTCCAAATAAACAAGTTTAATTGTACTATAGAAATGCTCGATCATACGTGAAACATCACGCGATAAAGCAAGAAACACTGTTTAATCTCCCGCTGAGGAGCTACGATTCTTGAAATTATGCCTTGTTTTGCAAACAAACAATGTCAACTCTGTCCTCTGAGTACGTGAAAGAATCCGCAACAAACGCACGAAGGAAATATCTTGATGGATATCTTCCTGTTCCAGAAATTCTGTTTTTGATATTCATACTAACGAGTCTCTAACTGCAGAAACCAAAACAACTATTGTGCAACTGTGTCATATGAATAGCACAATGTTCACCATATCCTTCAAACATATATATGTGTGTATACATACTTATATTCGACCTTTACGTTAAACCTGCTCGTCTCTCTACAAAAAGTTTAAATTTTCTTACTTTCTCTTTTCTTAACACGAAGATTTCCAATGTAATCAAAGTAAACCAATAATTTATTCCTCAGGTATCAATTCAAATCATTTTTTTTTTTACTTTAATTTTGCTCTATCAACCACTCCCAAAAGCTTTTTGATGAGTTCTTTCAATCATTTTTTATATATTCTTTGCTTACATCCACTTTCTCTCTCTCTCTCTCTCTTTTTTTTAAATGATTGTACGGGATTGCTTTCTCGAGTTGATTTTAGTTATTAGTGTGCTGCACCCATATGTACCAGTTTTCTCTTTCTTTCTTTCTAGCTTTAGGTGACTCCGAGATTTTTTTTTAAACTCGTCGAACAGGTGCATGTTAAGAAGGGGGAAAGAAGGGAACAGGTAGGGTTGACTTCATTAATTAAATAAGAAGTTAAAGGGTCAGTAATTTTTTATCCAATCGCCCTCACCTCTACATTGGTAAGTGATGTCATTCACCTCTCGGCGCTACCCGCATCTGTCGGGATGAACTAGCTCTGGTCTTTCATTTTTCAGATCTCCCACACATACGTATCAACTCGTACGCACTTTCTCTCTTTATATATTTATTTTTTCTTATAGTAGCACGGTACTATAGGATGAATCGTAGTATACAGTACATCCTCGCATTTCTTAATACACATGTTTCTTGAAAAAATTCTCGTTATTGTTACAAGGATATTTAATTTTAAAGGAACTTTTAGTAAAACACTGTTTATTTTTTTAAAAACATATTAGAAAAAGCGTCAATAAACCCATTCTATAAAGTTGTACAAATTTATTATTATTATCTTTTTTTTTAATTTGCGGAAAATGTTTTGAAACTGGTTTGTCCATAATTATCAATTTTTCTAATATTTTATATCGTTTATTACATTATCTTTCAAATAAACAAGAAAGTATTTAGAGTAGTGAGAGTGAAATTACTTTAAATTGATTTTTTTCGAGAAAATGTCAGTGCAATAACCTAAATTACGTTTGGAAAGGTGATTATAAAAATAAGGTTTTAATACACATATTTGTATTTCTAAATTTATAAAGCTGTAGAGGGAATTAATATGAATAATTAAATTATTTTTATATTTTTCTATTTTAAGTGTAGTCAAAATTCTGCCTTTAAGATAAGGACTGAATTCTATTTATTGAATGATAATTACATATCCGGGTTAAAAAGTTTGTCTTTTTATTTTTGTAAAGCTGTTTATATCTATATATTATAATTTATTGGATATTTATACAACATTTTAAAATTAATGTTTGATTTATTTTTATTTTTTGATAGAATTTTCAACGTTAATTATCAAGAACTTTTGTGAATATATAAGAAGGGAATTGCAACTTCGAATTTTTATCATCCTTCAGAGAAATTGGCTTTCAAGAAATTGATATAGGCGTATCGAGAAGAGAAAAATGGAAATTGACGCGGTGTCTCTTGACAAATTTTTAGGTATTGATTCTGAATCGACTTCGGAATCGACAACGGATTTTTCTCCACCAGCTCCCAAACGCGTACTGGAATCGGTTAAGGAAGAGCCCAATGACAATTCTTCTACTAAGACACTGAGTGGCCCCGAATATAACTTGAGGCCCCGTTCCTTACAAGTGAAATTCGAAACGACCGAAAGGAGAAGAGGATCGACGAAGAGGGAACCGAAACCAAAACAGAAACCGCCTCCTCTGAGCAAGTATCGAAGAAAAACGGCCAACGCCCGAGAAAGAACCAGGATGCAAGAGATCAATCGAGCCTTCGAAAATCTGAGGAACGTAGTTCCGCAATTTCCATGTAAATTGGGAGCCGATAATGGAAAATTGACGAAAATCACTACTTTGAGGCTGGCCGTTAATTATATCGCGGCTCTCACGCAAATCTTAAGGCAAGCGGACGACGACGAAGAAATTCCGGAAGGAGGATCGGAAGCAGATTCTTGTCAATCCTTAGAATCTCTAGAATCCAGTTTAGAACTGGGAGACGATTCCTGCAGTTTGATACCTGACGGTTTCGATCTTATTCTAGAATCTGACGGAGAAAGTATGCAACTCAGCGACGAACAGACTGTTTAATGTTTCCAAGAGTTTAACGAAGGAAATAAAACAAAACAACTAAAGACTCTCTCTACCCGGAATTGTCTGATTCAAATTAGAAATAATCGTTTTAGACATAACTAAAGTAGACGATGCTCTTTGAGCTGAAGTTATGCGCATGGAGGATACCTCTGCGCGTATCTGGCCGCTACTTAAATTCGAAGACAAAGACAGAAAATACTCAAAATGTTGAAATGTGTACAGTGATATTTACCTCATCCAATGAGAATATTAGAATTTTTAAGAAAGAATAAGTTGACAAACTGCTCAAAAATAGGGCTTAAGCCTTTTAGCTATACAGTTCCGTCCTTATTAAATGTCATCGGTGATTTTCCCTAGATGGGAAGTTAATGCTTCGAGCTCACTAGAACCAACGTGTTTCAGGAGTGTTTTATACATAGGAAAATAAAATATTTTATATAAAAATTTATATATAAAAATTCCTTAGTGCCAGTTAAATTTTTTTTTCATATTGTATCTTTTTTTTGTTATATTACATTATTTGTTGCGTAATTTCTGTCATTTGTATTGTCTTTTCTGAAAGAGAATCAAAATATACAGCTTTTTCAAAACGTTTGTCTTTATTTAACACTTTAAAGAAAATAAACTTAGAGTGTAAAAAACAATGACTATTAATTCTTTACAAATGAATAATTTTCATTTTTTCTTTTCAATTATATTTACCTATCACTTCATCTTACAAATTACATGAACTTTTATTTGTAAAGTACTCTACATTTAATTCTTTATAAACTGGAAAAAAATATATACATAAACTTTTTTTGCAAAGATAGAAGCTAATAATCCATTAATAAGACTGCAGAATAAAAATAATTTGATCTAAATGCACTTATAAAGCGTAATTGTACCAAAAATCTATTATCGCAATTTTAGATAAGATAAAGGTATCCATTAAACCAAACCGTTTTTAATAAACTAGTTAAGAAAAAAATTGGGGTATTTAAAAGTCATCGTTTGGCTATCCTATGAACGAATTTACATTCCGACGGCGTCACTTCACTCGAGCAAACACGCGTTTAACGAAGGTAGGAATATGTTGAGTGACAATCATGAAAATGCACCATGTCTCGCTTCGTCTGCATTTACTTAACATATATTAAACTCTTATCTAAGTCGGGGATTTCTTTAAGCTAGCAACACCTCATTAAATCTTTGCATGCTATTTACAGTAATGAGTAAATACATTATGAACATCTATCGCTATATTTTATTTTGTTCTTTATTCAACGGGATATGTTTATGATTTTTTTCTCTATAATTAAATATATTCGTTTAATTATGCGTAAAAATTTTTTAACTCCAAAACTAATTACTGCAATTAAACAATTTTTATACAAATTATCTATAAAAAAATCCATCTTNAAGCCTATTAAAAGTAATAATAAACTGTATAAATTATTGCATTTAATTTAATTTCATAGTCACGTATTTTTGAAATATTAAAAACATTTTTCCCGTATTTATGCGTGAAAATTTTTTAAATGGTTCAATAAATGTTAATTTAAATTAAAATAAAATTCAATAAAACCTGTCTAAAATGGACTCTGGATAAAAAGACAAACCTGCCAAATCGGACGGTGCGATTTCGTTTTACACAGGTTTTATTGTATGCTATTTACAAATAAAACGAATATTATCTTTTATCTCGCCGTATAAAATGAATTTTAACACGTGGATATTTTAGAAATTTAAAAAACTACATTATATCAATATTAATAAATGTGATTTTATTTTCATCTTATTTAATTAAATGCTTTCTCTAATTTTATTGGCATNTGCTGCAGCCTACAGTCAAAGGTCGCGGGTTAACGAGGGTCGAGGCAAAGGTGCTACTGACCTATTTCTTTATTTCCGTAACAAAAATAGAAGAGCCTTTAGTTATTTGTTTAAATATTATGTTGTAAGTGCGTTTAATTAATTATATAATTTACATAATTAACTTCAAAACACGTTTCTGCTCATTTCAATACAAGGACGAGATTTAAGATAAGTATAAAGTATAGTCCAATAGATCAAAATTGAAGAGATTATAACGTGAAAAATTGCATATTTACAATGCTACAAAAGCTCACACAATAGCTATGTTCAAACATTATTCAAAGAATTTTAAAGTAGGATTTAGTGTTCACATATAAAAATGAATAGTAAGGTGCGAATCTGGTTTTTCGCTAGGAAAGTGATAAAATCGCGAGGAAAGGTTAGGAGATAATAGGTTTCTTGGGATAATGCTCGACTTCAACTGCTGATAAAAGTCATATGATTCGAGGAAAAAGTACAAGTAAAAGAGAAAGTAATGTAAATAACAGTGAGGAGAAAATAAAAGGATTAGGCCCACGTTAAAGAAATCATTTTTGATAAGAATCTGATAGAGTAACATTTTGTTTTTATAAACTTACCTCAAAATATTCACTTGAATTTCTTAAGATATTTTCTTAACTATTTTAAACTATTCTGAATTAATTTTTTACTTTTCCTTTATTAATTATGCATCAAATTTTCTTCTTTCTCTTATTGTTTAAATTACAAATAATTTTAATATCGTATTTTGTTACTATTAACATTTTTCTTATAAAGTAATAATTTTTCTCCGGTTATTTATTGGAAATNAATTAATAAATATTTTATGGTGATTAATGTCTTTAAAGCATTGCATAGACATAGGCCTTGTGTGTAAATAAACCTATTTAATCATTTATAACCCATAGACATAATTATACAGTATTCTAATGAACAGTTTAATTAAATACGGTTCTTGTGTTAAAATAACGTCATGTGGAGTTGGGAGTTGTTACGCGTATTTCCGTTTTCCGCTGCTGTGTTTGGAAAATATAAAAAAAATATTAAGTTTGTTAATAAAATGAGACTGGTGAATGACCTTAATTTTATATTATAATAAAGTTTACATCAAAATGCAATAAATTTTTAACATCTAACAGCATTAAAAAACTGAAATATTTTAAGATGTTAGTACTAGGAAAAAATATTTCCGTAAATTCATTGTAAAACTAGATTTTCTCAAAAACATGTTGCATAACGTCGACAGCTAAGATAATTTTATCTCCTTACGAAAAGTTGAATCGATTCATTTTCTAGAGCGTTTTTATTGCTCGACACTCAATTAACCTAATTTTAACACCGAGTAGATATATTGGAAGCGGGGGTTTATTTAGAAATCAAAAAGAGCACTTAAAACAGAACTAAATAGAATGGTAGAAAGGGAAACACCTTCCGTCATTTAAATGTCAAAGGCTCACAATTCGCTAATCTAATCATCTTTCCAACTTAATAGAAAAGATACCGAGAACCTCCTGAGCCTGGGGCGTGCCAAAGGCGACAGCAAAAGACACCTTTATGTCGGGACGGTGACCCTACCTCCGGACTTGGATTTCGCAACGTCAGTTGAGTGAGTCGACCAAACCCGTCTCTTCGATCGGACGTCGAGACAGACGTCGAGGTCAAAGGTGACGCCCGCGTCCATCAGGGAAGGGTGGAGTGGATCGCTTGATAGTGGCCCACACGCGATGATCTGAACTACTTTCCTTGTCTATAGTATGAGTCGTGCCAAACTTCTACTTGGACGAGTCCATCGTACGTGTTATTAAATAGAAAAATCTTTAAAAAGTAGACTATAATTTGTGGATTTTTAAAGTTGTATTTTGAAATATTCAAATCGTGTTTCGATAAATTTAATAGATCTTTAAAAGGAAGCCTCCATTAAATCTTTTAATCGGAAAGTCGTTAAAAGACCAGTGAGTCCCAAAAATTTAATAAAATTTGAATTTTATAGCGACTTAAAAACTTTAATTAATGGGCTAATTATCTAGTAAAGAACTGTCGCTAAGATTGTTTCTCATAAAAAAAAAACAGTTAACGTGTGAAAATTATGTTCCAGAAGTGCGAACGGAGAAGACACAAAATAGTTATTTATTGGTCATTTTAAAACAATTCGTCGTTAAGATAATTTATCGACATCTTAGTTATTATAATGCACATAACTATGTTCATTTTTAAGTGCATACTTAATCACTACAAACGAAAAAAAGTAGTGAATTGCAGAATTATTCAAACAACAATTCGTAATTATTCTTCACGAGTGACTAAATCATTTTTATTTAAATGTTATCTCTATATTTGTTGGTTATATTTTCCGGCGGAAAAGACATAATGCCATAAATGTTATCAAGATGGCGGTGACAAGTGACAAGGTGACAGATGAGTTGTCAGAATATCTTAGCTGTGTCGTAACGTGTTAAGATGACTCTGTCAAGCAATCCTCGTTGACGGATGGACCGTGAAATTTCTGACGACATATTCTCTATCTGGAGTGGACGCCGAGGAGCCATACTCGTCAAAAATTATTTGCCAAACATGAACAAGAAAAAAAAATCGAAAAGAAAAATTGAATTTAATAATATAACCAGTTTTCTTCCGATAAAAATTAAAAATTATAATCGATTTTGAGTATATGCAATACGAAGAAGCTACAGTATTTTACTGATGGAAAATATTATTAATGTTAACCTCTATCTAAGTCGTCATAAATTTAAAACGTTCGGAATAATAAATGTTTGCATGTTTCTCTCAAATAGGATAGAAAACTGCGTGTTGCTCGGCCATCACCTTGTTAAGTTCTATCGACTGCGCTATGTTTCGCGCCTGTTAGGCAGGATATACGATCTCGTAGATCCTGGAAAAGATAGAACAAAGAATAGATCCTTCCAGCGAGGAAAAAGTGAAGAGCAGAGTGAATAAGTCAAGGAAATTGAAAGCAATTAAACTTACCGAGGGAATAGTAAAAGTGACGTTAATTAGTTCTTAGAGATATCTAAAGGGTGCAGTATTTCAAGAGGAACTGCGTTAACCCCCGGTGGGACTGGATCCATGCTGAGTTTCAATATTGGTGTAAATAAAACTAAGATTCCCTCCAGCAATTGCGCAGCAATTTTTCTCTTCAACACGAACTAACTACAACTAAGGAGATATATTACGAGAGATCATCCCTAAAGATTTATCAATGTACAATTTTCTTCCAAATTATGATAATTTATCGCTTGTTTTTATTTATTTGTCATTATGTTGGTTCTCTCTATGAAATGTTGACTCGGAGAGAAAGTTATTGGACTTGTAAGAAGTGTTACGTGATATTATAATTTAGTTATAACTTCTTCGTATGATATTCTGCCATTAATCTTATACGCTGTCTCTGTATACACTTTTCACAGATTAAGAATCCTTGGTCTACATCGTTGCCGTTCTTAATACACGAACAGGTGTTATTTTATTGAAGATGCTTGCACGTTAAATGCTATTTCACTTAAATCTGAGAGATTTTACCAGATTTTTATCAGTTTGTCAACAAAAACGACGTAAATTATATTTGTATGTTACTTATAAGAGGGTTTTAATCCTAACTGTAAAACGTTCTGACGACATTAAATGCGCTAAATAAAGACTTTAACTCACCCTATATCAACCGTTAGTGTAGACACAGG